AAAGAGTTGCTTTTTTTCGGGGTAAACTTCGTCACAAACTTTAAGTATACCGTTTTTAATGAAATCCCCCTTCCCCCTCCATGTCCATGTTCTTGTTTGCGTGTTTCGTTTCATGATGTCGTCTCAGATTACACTATTTCAATCGCGCCACACTTTCTCCACACAGAAGACACACAGGTTTTCCAGCTACGTCCATGTACATGTTCTTCGACTCTCACCTTGTTTGAAACCCCCGGTTCTCAGTGTCCACCTTCCGTTTTGCCATTTTTGATGGGTATCTGAAAGCTAATGTCACTGTTATGGGAACGACTGCTAGACGAATAAATATTTAAATAAAGCGGCCGACTGCTTGGCGCGTCACCGTTGCATTGTGGGAAATGTAGTTTTGGTGCGTGTAAAAGATCTGCGGGGTCTCGGCTTGCTGCGGTCCGCGGGCCGGTTCTAATAATAAATCAATATCATCCCAGGGGCCACTGAAAACATTCTCGCGGGCCGGATTTGGCCCGCGGGCCGTCACTTTGACATTTGTGCCCTATACAATACTTGGGTGGGTTTTCTGTGGGTATTCTGGCTTCCTCCGCTACGTGCCAACTTCTTTCGATTTCCCCAGATATAACATCTCGACTGCTGATCTCTCGTCTCATCTGATCTCACTGTTCACATTTTCTTGACACAATTTGCCCCTCACTAGTCATCAGGAAGACTATTATGGCTTCTGACATATCAATGGTGTGTGTATGCTGATGGTAGTTAGTCAAATAGAACTTTGCCCTAGATTCCCTTACAGAGTGGCAAATGGGAGAAAAAAAAAACACTTCCTTGCGAACATCATTGATGATTATGATCTAGACATTTAGCGCTTGCAAGGCGGCCATCGAAGCAGAGGTGTAACGTGTCTCTAATCTATCACCTCCAAGGTCGCGTGGCTTCATCAGATAAAGACAATAAAGCAAAATAGATTTCCTCTTGGTTGACCAGTCAATCAGTTTCATGGGAGAAGTGGGACTTTGTCATACTTTTTTTTAAAACTTAGGTTTTACTTCTTTTATTGTACTTCATTCTTCACTAAAGCTTGCTGAAATGGAATTCATGAATAGGGCTGTCAGTGTATCCCACTGCCCTTAATTTAATGACTCGTCAATCCCAATCTAACTTGAGGATAATTAAAAAGGACATCAATTGGCGGTACGCTTTTTCTTTTCATTTCTCATGACAGGCGTACGCAAACTTTTTCAATTCAAAAAAAAATCTGATAAATACAATAAAGACCTTTTTTTTGTGCATGTTTGATTGAACCACACAGGACGGATGTGTCAAGGAGCGAGATGATGTGAGAGTACAAACAGTCCAAATTTAAACTAACTACATACAGCTCACTTATTAGCCAAAGTGCAGAATCGAGTCAAATCCAACAGAAGGACTGTACTAAAAATGTCTTTACAAAGACAATCATACACATTTCATGACAAATATCAATAAATGTGGGGATTTCCAACACAATTACAGTCCGTTATATAAATTACTGTATATCTACCGGTACATAAATGAGAGCTATAGCTTAAATTTTAATTGCCCAATGTTCAAAATAGCTAGGAACGCTGAAGTCATATACTCCACATTCTCTTCTTTGCTGCAGTGGTCCTATTCTCGCTCGCCCTCAGTCTTCTCTCAGTTCCAGAGAGGTACTTTGTCAATACGGTATTGGTTGTCCTCCATTGTTGCCCTACCGACAGATGCCGTCAATGCAGTGTAGTTTTCACGTTTGTCTCACGACGACAGAAGTGGGAAACCTTGGCAAGTCAAGCCGGCCAGGTATTTCGTAGTGGAAAAGTGGTGATAGCTTGGCCCGCAAGCATTTTTTTTTAATTTTAAACACAGCCAGATTGGTTTTACTCATATTAGAATTGCAAGAATCCACGGATAAAACTGAAAAATCACAGTGGAAAGGTTCTCACACAATATCGGTGTTCTGTTGCAGACTATTTCCATCCTCCGGCCTCATCACACAAGGTGCCCATGCTCCGCTACACCTGTCTGTCTATACGTCTGCGTGGACGCATGAGCGCTCGCCTCCTCGGCAGATGTGAACGGTTTGATTTCCTCCTCGTCCAATCTCAGTCGGAGACTTCACACAGCACATCCATCTCAATCCGAGTGTCACTTTTCAACTTTCCGCACGCGAATGAATGCCCTTCATATCCTTCTCAAAAGCCAGCCAGTTGCTGATTCATGGCAACCTGACGGAAAGACAACCTCGCTGTCTCGTCCCAGAAGTGCCGGAGAAAGGGAGGGAAGGCAAAAAAAAAAATAAAAAATTAGAGGGAGAGAATGTAAGTAAAGAAGCGAACATGGGCGAAGAAACAAAGAAAAGTATTTGTGAATTCTCCTCTCTTTCCAATTGCGACTCTCCGCCAAGCTGCCTGATGGATAACCGAGCACTGATTGGAATTTACATGCAGACACAACCGTCCCCCCACCCCCGCTCCCGCTCCACCACTTCTATCCAATAAGCCATTGCACTCTCAACCTGCTTTGAGTGATAAGCACAATGAGAAAGTGCTGGCATATTTAGAACTGACAGTGGCACTCGGCAGTGCTTCTTAGGCAGGGTAGAATGATGCGTTGTTTATGGGAGGGAGTATCTTTCAGCAGTTGATGCAGAGCAAAGAGAAGATACTGTCAGCAGCCATTGCTGCGCGCAGGCCCAAAGTGAATGAGGACAACCAGAAATAGAGAGCACCCGAGCCAGATGGAGTGGAACGATCACAGGAAAATACTGTACTTTCTCCGCGGCACAGTGTTTGCTTTGTACACTTTAAGCAGAAGAAGCAGTCTTACGGATTCCGCTGTCATTTCCTTACTATACACAATGAGAAAAGTAAACATTATTTGATGGTAAGGGACATCGCCTGAATGTAAAAGTGGTTTGTACATTTTCAAGGGGGCAGAGGGAGATGAAAGATCAAAACTACTACTCTGTCAAAACGACTCTACAATTGTAAATATTGTAAAAAACATTTTTTGCATCTATAAAAGTGACAAAACACACACACAAAAAAAAAGCTAATTTTTGTTGTTGTTATAAAACACACATATTACACATACAAACGCAAGGGGGACAAACTGTCAACGGGAAACAGCACAAAGAAACAAAATCAAAACTACTGCGAAAATATTCGCAACTTTCAACTTGCAGTCCTCATTTTTCAGCATGATGAGGAATGCGCCAACTCGAGCAGCAGATCTGAATGTCGATCATACAAATGTGTCAGCGTATGTGCGGCTTTCAATAAAAAAAATTAAAAAAAACGAACCAGTTAACACGCAACGTGGAACTCATTGAAAAATTGCCGAACAGGAAATGTGATTTGATAGTGTAAAAGGAGACACGAGGAAAAGACAAACGTAAGACTCCCTGCAATCTACAAAAAAAAACAAAAAAAAAAACAAAAACAAAAAAAAAAAAACATCATTTTAGCCACAGGGGTTAATTAACGAAGTTATGGCTTCTACTCTGAACTTTACGGGAAACATTGAAATCATTGTTACCCCAAATCAAATTTCTGTTATCGTTATTGTTGTTGTTGTTGTTGTTGTTGTTGTGTTGATCCGAGTGCAATTCACATGTCGCTCAAAATACTTGCCAATGTTCCCAGTGCGGACATGCAGCCGACCCCTGACGACGGTGTTGACCGCCATGGCGTTGTTGGAGGCGTCGCCCATCTGCAAGCTTTCCTCTCCCATATGGTCGGTTGTCAGAACCTCCACCTCATGGAGTGCTTGCACTGCCATTTTACCGTGCCGCAACATGTGCTGATGATGACGAAGCAAAAAAGGGACACTGAAAAACGATTTTGTGTATTCAGACAAAAACACAGATTTGGGCTCAAGAGAACGATTATTAACTCAGATCAATTTATATTTACTATTACAATGGTGTTAGATTTTTGTGTATCATTTTACTGTGCATCTATTTTTACTTCTATTGTGCCATGCAGAGAAAAAGTATTCGCCCTCTTCTCAAATTTGTACTTTTCTTAGTTTTCCCCACATGCTCCCGTGGTAACATGTTTGTCTTTTCAACACTTTTTATCAGAAAACAATTAAGTCATATGGGCATAAGATGCTCATCTGGCACCATGGGAGACAAAAAATAAATAAATAAAAAGTTTGTTTTGTAGTCGGGTGGAAAACAGAAACCAATAAGGATTTTTAAATTGCTTTTGAATTGTTATTTATTTATTTATTTGTTTGTTTATTTTATCTGGGTGCTTTATTCATCGAGACGCGAGTCTCGATAATGTCATGCTCGCACCGTTAAATCTACAAATCTGCAAATGCTGCATGAATATATTTTGGATGCACTGCAATGCCATGATGGGGTGTGAAAACAGATAGCAAGTCTATCATAAATTATTCTCTATCGGCGGTGGTTAAAATGTCACATGAATTGGAATGAGAGCTTCTTTCTGTCTGAGCCAGAAACGTAGAGTCCAATGCCCCGAGCGTATTACCTTGAGCTCAATGGCTGTTGAACCGATGAGCAGCAATGAGTCACTGTCCCAGACGTCAACATGCATGGTGTGAAGGGCCAGGTAGCGCAGGAACCACTGCTTCTCCCCTGGCTTTAGAAAACGGTCATCGACTCTGAACTGCACCTGCAGCCCAGGAGAATCTGCACAAAGAAAGAGAATGGAGAGCGCTTAAATAACAGACAGCAAATACCGGTAAAGGATCGACAAGTTGAAAGTGGCATCATCAAAAATGAATCATGTGCCATGAACGGCAAATACGGAAATGAATCCTTGAAGGATTTGAGAGCTGACAGTCCCCCTGCAGTATCACAGCTCATTGTTAGTGGGCCCAGTTCATTGTTTTTAAACTTTTTAAACGTGTGTATATTCAGACTCGACCTCAGACTTAAAGGGGGTACCTGATATGTTTGGAGGGTCCACTTATTACAGTATTAAGATCAGACAGACAGTAATTACTAGGCTCCATATATTTGATGCTACGATATTGTACTCGCGCAGCACTACCGCTCCCAGTCAGTCGTCTTGGATGGGGCCCTTTGCGACAACCGCTGGCAAGTATTACCACAGACATTATGTACAGTACGGTCTAAATGTGTTCAAAGCACATGGGAAGGCTGAAACTGAAAAATATCAGATGTCCACCTGCCATTGGTGTGTCTGGAAGAGATTTCCATACTAAATGGGGGTTTACTGTATTACCAAACTATTCCATTCATTGGATGCAAACTTTATCATAAAGCAAAATGGCATCGTCTGGATTCAGATTTATTGAACTGCTGCAAGATCATGGCATATTTCTGTTTAAAAAAAAAAAAAAATCTATCAGCAAGAATGGTTTGAGAATCATTACCACACGAATGTTCATGTCAATGATGCTACGCCGTTTGTATGAGCAGCATCAAAACAATTTCCTTTTAACAGATCCGGAGCAAATTCATTCACCGTCCATCTGCCAAACCATCCAGAAAATCTCCACTTGGACAATTAATTCTCCCACCAATTGGGAAGCACACAAGAGCTGAGCGCAAGATGGACAACGCACTGTGGGTGTTTTTGCTCATAAGCGGGGAAGGACTGAAAACATCGGGCCCGCAGGGGGCTGCGCTGGATCGTATGGGCGTGTATGTGCACGTGGGTCGGCAGACTTGGAGCGACACCCAGCAGAGTGACAACTCACCCTGCAGCACCACTACACAACCAGGATAGATTGTCTGATGTGTGCACAGCGGGTCAAGCAGCCAGAAAGTCATGCTGAGCAACAACAAGGTGTGTGTGTGTCAGGGATGTGTTCCTCGAGCCGGTCCTTGGCCTCGAGGACCGGCTCCCCGGGCCCCAGGGGGGGGCGTCGTTTTTTTTTGCGTGTGTGTGTGTGTGTGTGTGTTTATATGTCAACCTCACAGTGCAGAGGTGCAGGGTTCGATTGTGGCTCCAGCCTTCCTATGTGGAGTTTACATGTTGTCCCTGTGCCTGCGTGGGTTTTATCCGGGTATTCCGGTTTCCTCCCACATTCCAAAAACATGCGTGGCAGGATAATGGATCATTTGAAAATGTCCGGAGGTGTGAGTGTGAGCACGGATGGTTGTTTGTCTGTGTGTGCCCTGCGATTGGCTGGCAACCGGTTCAGGGTGTCCCCCGCCTACTGCCCGAAAACATCTGGGACAGGCTGCAGCACGCCCCCGTCCCGCAAACCTTGGGAGGATAAGTGGATCAGAAAATAGATAGATAGATAGATAGATAGATAGATAGATAGATAGATAGATAGATAGATAGATATTGTTCTTTCGGTCATGACCCGCCACCCGTGACCACAGATGAGGGTAGGAACATTGATCAAGCGGTAAATTGAGAGCTTCACATTTCAACTCAGCTCCTTCATCACCATGACAGAACGATACGGAGTTCGCATCACTGCAGATGCTGCATCGATCCGCTTGTCGATTTCCCGCTCCGTCCTGCCCTCACTCGTGAACAAGCACCCAAGATACTTGAATTCCTAACACTTGGGACAGGATCTCATCCCTGACCTGGCGAGAGCATTCCAACCTTTTCTGATTGAGGTGTAAGATGACAAAATATAACATAAAAAAACAATTCACTTTTGTTTCATTCCATTCAAATCACTTGTTGGTCTGATTGCTGCACTAAAGTTTGCTTCCCTTCAGTTTGCCATACCTTGACTGACCGCCCCCAAAAACACATCCCCATACTTTGTGAGTGATCCCAAGTGGAACAAAATTGTGTTGTCGAGATTGACGCTAGATAATAAAAACGGGTTGGGTATCCTGCGACTGATGCCAATAAGGGTGAGTCATGTCAAGAGTTTCACAGGAACACAAACACAATCTCTGTCGCCACAACTTGCAGCATCATGGAACACTGATGCATGTGTATGAGGCAACTTTTTTGGGGTGGGGGGGACAAATCATCTGATGGCATTGGCTTGATGGATTGGAACAAGAAAGAACAAGAGAACAAAAACATTGTACTGTGAAATTGGTTTTGGGACAAAAACGTACATTTGGATTGATTTCAACAACAGCCACCATAGTTGGTTCAACTGACGAAATAGATTTTTTTGTGATGCATAATATAGACACCGACAGGAATAAAGTGAAACTGCAACTTAATGAAGAGCAACAACTAACCACATTTTGGCCGTGACTCAGATTTTGTTTGTTTGTTTTTTGTTTTGTTCTGTTTTTTACTCCAGTTAGCGTTTCTCAGGTTTTTGATTAACATTGCTGGGACTGTATGCTGTCCAAGTCGGCGCATTTTGTACGAATTGGATGAACTCTCCATTTCTGGTATTCTATTTTACAGTCATTTTATTTTTCATCTTTTGAAATAGGAGACCAAATTGAGCAAAGGAGTCTGGAATCATCAGCGTTTTCATGTGCCATCACTGTTATTTATATTACAGTGGAAGCTCAAAATTCGGCCACAGTGTTCCGTCACGGAACATTGGCTGTTGTTATTTTCGTCGATGGTTGACCTCTCGAAATGAATTTGATTGAAATTCTCATTGAAATTCATCACATTTGAAATCATTTGTTCAGGAGTCCAAACGGTCTCTCCACGAGAAGCAAAAGTGGCACGCGGTGTTCCTTCTTGTTAAACAACACAAAACCGTGGACACAAATTACCAACATCAACCAAGTCAACACGTGAGTGAGGTGAGATCGTGTTGTTTGATGACACATATGATGACGGTTTACACCTCCAAGATGAGGCACAACATTTAGGGCAGTCCACCTTAGAGCTATCATCTAGCTAGCTCATCCCCTTGCTAGCTATTCCGTTTTCCGTTTGGATGAAGTCTCGAGTTGATATGACTTCCAGTTGATTTCATCTCCTCTGCTGTGATTCCACTTCGACATTTCCATTTGAGCAAAAAGAAAGGTGTGACAGGTGCTGATATTCAAGAGAAGAATGGCACGTTAAATCCAGGGAGCGGCAATAAACCGACTAACTGCTAAATCGCACCCTTAACTCTTAATCCTTCAAAAGTAAAAGGGTAGATTTAGTTCAGCTTTTGCCAGTAAATTGGTGTAAAGGCTCCGCAAGAGAGAATACTGTACAGTTTATGGAAGGAGTACATTGGGTGATAGAGTGTAGATGCGCAGCAAAAAAAAAAATATTGACAGTGGTAATCCAGAGTGTCTCTCCGAGGAGGCCTGTGGGGTAAGGGGAGTAATGTTTGTGTGCTCAACATCACGCTCTGTCAGTAGCAGTCATATCTCTTCCATTTCATTAGTTGCAACATGAATGGACATCAATCACTGGCCGTTTGGCTGATTGAAAGGGAAGTGGCATCGGAGAACATCGTGGAGCATCACGGAACTGGCTTGCAGTTTGTATGAAATGATTGGACAACGCCAAGCTGGAGATGAGTGAAATGCATCGCTAGGTAGCTTGGACGCACAATATGAAGCTGTCTGCATAAGAAATGGTGCTTTGATCTGGCTTTTCCGGGACATTTTGACCTTTTATTCACATGCAAAATGCATTTCGGATATATATATTTTTTTACTTGTTTGTATAACAGATTTGTGTTGTTGTTAATGCTTTGGAATAGAAAATCTCTTGCTATCAATCCATGTGACTTACCTCCCCTTTTCCCTCATTCAACATCATTTTCACATTACCTTGGATGCAAACTGAACCATATTTTCTGCAATATAAGGGACTTCGGAGTATAAGGCGCACCTTCAATGAATGTCCTATTTTAAAAATATGTTGGTATATAGGGCGCACCTCATGATAAGGCACAAAGAATAGAAGCTACAATAGTGGCTACGGTTGCGTTATGCGTCCACTAGATGGAGTTACGTTAATGGGAATACAATACAATACAAAACAGCTTTATTTGTACAGTGCTTTCACAACCGCTGCAAAGCGATTGACAGAACATTTAAAATACTACGCCCAAGAAATCAGAATATTGATCCATATATTAGGCGCATGGGATTATAAGGCTTGTGAGAAAATTGAATGCTTTTAGGTGGGCTTTATAATAAAAAAGAAATGTGCCTTTAAGAGGCGGAGCCTGGTGAGGTGGCGTGTGAAGTGGCGAGCTGAAGCGAGATTGGCTCATGCTTTGGCAAGTCCAGTGCGAGTGAGCGTGTCCTGTAACCAGCAACTTATGATCCAAGTTTTTGCAATACAGTTGGAATTTCCATATTAATCAAGTAGCAATGATTCACAAAACCATCTGCGATTGGTAAATCTGTTATCATTAAGTTTGTGTGTGCTAGGACAATGTGCCTCGTGTGTTTGGTGTCTGACTTGTTGTTATCAATTCTTAGTACAAACTCCAAGGTGACACAATCCATGAGAAAATCACCAATATCTTTCCAAAGCGATGGAAGATCATTACCAGAGTTGACAGAGCCGTCATTGTTGATGGAAGTCAGGACACAAGGAAGCAGCTCGCTTGTTTTCTGCTGCACCTTGTCGCTGTTCTGTAGTCGAAGCTGCTGTGACGTGACTGGTGGAAAACGGTAGAACTGGAAGGTGAAGTAGATGTTGGCAGGCCATTTGGGACCAATCCCCACCATTGGCATTCTGATTAAAAAAAAAAAAAAGTTGATGATTAACAAAATCATGAAGCGAAACTATGTGGACCTGACAAGAAAGAGACTGAACGCATATTCTCTTCTATACACCATAAAGGAAGGTGTCCACACACGTATTCACCCTCTGCTGCACTACGACTGACTATACATTTTACATGCAAATATGGATAAAGTCACTCATTTGTCGAGCGACAGGTATCCTTCCGTCCATTGATACTATCCCTGATCTTTTAAACAGCAACCACAAGTACACATATCTACGGGTAAACAAACTAAAAAAAAAAAACTTCACTGTCAGCGCACACTTACGAGATGACACTGAATTTACACACTGAATAATGAAATCAACTTCCGCTCACTTCGATTGGGCTGATTAGCAATCAGCAATCACCCCTCCGCTCTATAGTCAACACAGAAAGTGCATGTTGCATGCATCACAAATGTCGGCAGCAGAGTGACAACCAAATTTCCTTTTGGGTTAAGATTAACACATTTTAATAAACATTCAATCATGCACTGAGAGGGACACGAACCTCACATATGACATGAACATGAGGACGCCGGACACATTGTGTGGGTCATATAGAGCCACTGAATACAATTGTGTCTGCTGTTATTTCCCCACCTCCAGCACGAAGGCTACAATGGGATACACGCTGCTTATTTCGACGTTGACAGAATGTACGTTGAACTGAAAACAAGGCTAATGTATTCTGAGTGCTCATTTACAGAATATCATGGTGGGCAACAACAAAGAATGGGCTTATTAAACTGCTGACATTGCACACAAAAAGAGAGAAGGACACTGTGGTGCGAGCGCTGTGTTCAGCACGCATCTTCCACTGTCACCGAGAGGGCGCCGGCTCCGGGGGCCTTTGTGACGGCTTGCTGACAGAGGCTGCGCTGACAGGAAATGTGTTTTTGTGAGAATTCTGAGCATATGTGTGCGTGCGTGTGTATGAGCATGCAGTGGACATGTGAGGAGAGGATGACTGACAGAACTTAATGCCTGAGTGCGTCAGCTCAGCATAAAAGGGAGAAAGTCGACTGCCGGCAGATTTTTTTTTTTTCCTTGGATGCAATTGAAAAATGCAAGGATACACATTTGCAGTGCATGGTCAGAAGTGTGAAATTCTTTCTATTTTCTTTTATGTATTTTCAAATAAGAGCAGTAAAGAAGATCAAGTTTTCATTCCTGTGTTAAATGATCCAGATGATGATTTTTGAGCTCAATCAAATAAATGCACTAATTCGTCTCTCAGCATTCTCTTTTAAAATTGCCAATGGATCAGAAATGAGTATAGACGATTGTAGTAACAGGAATTACATTACAAGAAAAAAAGTTCGAAATTAAAGACAAATTTACTATCACTTAGTCAAGTGTCAAAATTCACCACATAAAAGTAACCCCAAGAATGTGACATTTGTGATCGAGCGTAACTTGCAAATACCCTCAAGAAAATAAAAAGGCACGTCTGCAAAACGTAAGATGCTGTTAATCATGTCACAAATCACAGGGGTCCACACTTTACCTTGTAAATGCAAGAAACTGGAAGACCAGAAGATTCTCCTGCAGTGGATCCATTTCTTCACGGTGTGGCTCAAAGGGCACCGGCTCTGTGGGGTCCAAGACTTCTGCCACCTGCCCTTTCGAATCCACAATATCGGGGAAGCCAGCAGAGTAGAGGTGGGCCAGTGAACTCCTGGAACTGACTGTGGACAAACTGGGAGGAGAAGCGTTAAAATAGATTGAGAAGGGTTCAACGTGAAATTGAGTCTAGCACTGGCAACAAAAGTTGTTGTGTCACACACAAAAAAAATAAAAATGAATCTGCAGTATACGTTGCCATGAAAGAGCTTACAAATATATTTATCGCCTGCTGCACAGGCCTCAGTCAAGTAATTTGCAGTAGCGTATTGTTCCTTCACCTTCAGCTATACTCGTGTCATTTTAGGCCGGTCAGTTTTTCTCTTCTAACAAAGACCCCGTCGAAAGCATCAGTCGGAATGAATAACAAACGGTAAGTGAACAAATCAAATATAGTTACGATAGAGACTGACAGCAGCAAGTAAGAAAAACAGAGTACTGCAGCAAAGTGAAGACTTACAGTATACAGCTTAGGGCCTCCTAACAGAGTAAGATCAAGTTACCAAGTGTGTTTATTTCACGCTGCATATGGCAATGACAAATCTGCTCTTAGGTCACCCAGAAGGTATGAGCTTGAGAAGCATGTAACCCTGACTAACCAGTCACTTGAAGGTTGATACTGATGAGTGCAAAAACGGCATATCATGATGCACTTTTCAGATACACCCCTGGAATCCTGCAGTTTTGTTATATACCACCTACCGGTATATTTATTTCTTTTGCAAAACTGATTCCATCCATGGAATCATTTTCGATCTCCTTGTGAAGGTCAGTAGGGAAGCCATAGCCCACCTTGTTTGGCCTTCTACTCATTATTTAGCAGAGCTTAACGGCAATTTTCTCATTGTATTCTTTGACAATCAATTTCAACTTCAGTCTCGACTGTCCCCTAAAACGACACCGAGGGTGTCGGCAAAGTCCCCTCAAGGACAGGAGCCGTGAGAGCACTTGAAGCGAAAAGACAGAGGGCGATGAAGTACACCCTGAGGAATTCCTCGCATAATCGCCGGTTATAGCTAATCATAGCAACCACCTGTCTTGCAGCAGCCATTGTACCATTCATAACTTCGACTGTCAACAGTGACACCCAACGCAACGCACAGATGGCTGGCTAAAATGCGAGCGCAGGACGATGAATGCTAATGTTTTGGTTTGGGGTTTATCATAAAGTTGTTGTCTGCGCCCAGTTGGTAAACAGATTATTCCCATGGTGAAACAGAATGAAGCCTTGACCAAACTAATTACGGTGACATCGGTTAGACCGATGGATCATTGAATTTTCTCTCTCTGATGTATGTTTCAATTTCACACCCAGTCATCCCAGTTTTTTTTTGTTTGTTTGTTTGTTTAGTTCAAACTATATGTACGTTCACGGCAGTTAATTCAAAATGATTTGGGTCGTAAATGTTTTTGTCACACAAATGAGTCATTTCGCACTAAAAACTTTCCGATTCCAAGAGGAGGCAGAGATGTTTCGGCCCACTGAACTGAAGAGCAGCATGTCTAAATCCACACTGGAGGCTCGGAAGGCTGTTTCTATGTGAGTTGCTTGTTTACAGACTCGCCGTACTAATGCAAGATCTTGTTTCTGTGTCAGAGTGCCCATTATTTTTAGGCTGTCGAGTCCTTTGTGTCTAGCCCATTGGCACATCCCCATGGCATTCTGCTGTCTAACAGCTGGATTGAATAATAAAGTTCCATTTAAAAGCTGACTCCACTGTGATCCTTTCCCTAAGTAAAGGGCAGCGCGAACCTACTTTAAATGGGCTATTTGTGGAATTCTTCCAGCTAAGAACAGAAATATTGAATTACCCAGAACAACCGCTGTCAATTAATAAGATGCAAGGCGATCGATACCGCAGTAGAAAGCAACAGAGTGACTTACAGCCCTAATGAATGGCTGTACACACCGAGACATATAAAAGAGGGGTTTTTAAATGGCTTCATTGATGCCTTTGGCCGATCAACAGTGACTAATGCTACTCAAACATTCACTGCTCAAAAGTTCAACTACTCGAGGAACATTAGTGAAGTGGCCCTCTTGGAAAAGTACCAAAAAAAAGTGATACAAAATACATTGTTGTAATGATTGTTCTTAGGATAAACACGTTACATGACCATCTGCTTACCACCATTCTGTTAGATTTGTAATGAAAGACAGACAGAGAGAAAGAGAGAGAGAGAGAGAGAGAGAGAGAGAGAGAGAGAGAGAGAGAGAGAGAGAGAGAGAGAGAGGGAGGAAAGGAGGGAGCAGGAGAACAACAGGCAGACTGGTCCAGGGCCTGCAGTGACGCAGATTCGGCATTGGTCTGTTGTCAAGAAGTAGATCGATTTAGAAGTCAATTTACCGTTCCGTCTCTTGCCTATGGTTACGAGCTGCGGGTCGTGACCAAGGACGAGATCAAGGGTTCAAGCGGCCCAAATGAGTTTTCTCCGCAGGATGTCTTGGCTCGTCCTTAGAGAGAGAGTGAGCAGCCCGGTCGTCTTTAAGTTTTAAGAGGAGCAAGACGAGGTGGATCAGGCATCTACTTAGGATGTCTCCTTGACACCTCTGCGAGGTGCTCTTGCATAATCATTGTCACCTGTATTGGGAATACTATATCTGTAAATATATACAATAAACGTGATAAACGGATGCGGTTTGTATGTTCAACTTTCATTTGTAGTCTTTAAAGCACAGCCAGGCAAAAAATGTGTGCACGAGCACGTGCTGTGCTTAGTCACCAATGTCCTATCAGCCTGTAGCACTGACAGAAAGCAGTGTAAGCCAGACACTATCTGTCTGGTGACTGGCAGTCCACCCAGTGCTCCTTTTGATAAGGAGACTTTAAAAAATGTGGTCAGAGACAGAGAGGAGGGGTAGATGTAGGAGCACGTAAAGGATTAAAATAAAAAAGTAGCAATGTATGGCTGTGTGTGTCATTCAAAGGCTGTCAGGGGATCATTATTTGACGTGTCAGTTAGTTATCAGGGCAGCGGGATATAACAGTCAGCATGTCTGTATCATAGTTAAGAGGTCGCAGGTTGAAATCTCAACTCAGGTTAGAGTTTGCATGTTGCGTGTGCGTGTGTGTGTGTGGGGGGGGGGGTTCCGGGTACCATACTCTGGTTTCCTCGGGGATTTCAGAAGTATGCGTTTTAGATTAATTTCAGATTGTCCGGGGGTAGGAATGTGAGTGTGAATTGTTGTTTGCCTATATGTGCCTTGTGATTTGTTGAGGACCAGTCCAAGCCGTTACCTGGGATTGGATACAGCTCACCTGTGAGCGTAATGAGCACAAGCGTGGCAGAGATTGGATAGATGGAATAGTGCTCCACTGTTTTACTGAGCAGAAGAAGTGATTTTTACATCCTGGGCAAGTGGTTCCAAGATCAAAAAGTTGGTGTTTTAATAGTTCTATTTTTGTTAAGATTAAATTTGGTTTTGTTTCATAGTTTAGTTTTCTCATGTGCTTTGGTCTTCCTTGTTTGGGTTTGTTTCCACCTGTTCTTGTCATCCGAGTCCCTTGTGCCAACCAATTAGCTCCCTCAACCCGTTGTGTCTCATCCAGGTGTTTCTTGTTGTCTCGCCTGTTTGCTTATATTTAGTTCCCTGGGTTCTGTCTGTTTTATGTGTATCAAATTTTGGGGGCCAGATGCCACTATTTTTCGGCTTTTTTTTATATATTTTTTTTTTTTTTCTATTTAACAAAAAATATATTTTTGGAAGCATTTTAAAAACCAATTTCCTTAAGGCGGCGACCATTTCTTTTAGTTTTTTTGTTGACCTTTTGTCTGTGCATTTTTCTAGATTATCACTGGAATAAGTAAGAATAGACAAACATAAGCATTCTAATCTCAAAATTTAAAAAAAACTTTATTCTGGTGCCCAACAGATTTCTATTTTTATGTTCAGTATTCATAACATGCATTTAGATGATATTTTTACTGCATATGTAAACAATTGCATGCTCATGTGTGAGGGCACTACGCAGACTTATGCTTTGTATTATTTGCTTGAATGTGAAGTTAGAATACATCACCATTCTTTTCGTAGTTATGCTTGTTTTTAAATATTGTTATAAACATATAATATGTTTTTTAATGGTGACCCACCTTGGTGCAGTCACACCCGCTGTAATGACAGGGGCATGAACAAGAGTGAACGGGAGCTCCCGAAGTTGGTCTTCCTCGTGTTTAGCTGAATGCGTCCCATCCCTTACTGGCTGAAGGTCCATCTCAAGGTGTGTAGTGCTGCTGAGAGCTGAGCAGGCCTAAAGAGAAACGGCAGGCAAGTATGCCGAGAGTGTTGAGAAAATACAACTTCGATGAGCAACACATTCAAATTAAACGCGACTGTGTCAAAACCGAGCATGATCATTTTGTTTGCAAACACCAACATTTTCATATTCAAGAAGTTCCTGTATTGGATCTCATTAGGTTGTGCAGGTGTTCCTAACGAAGTGTCCGCAGGGTGTCGACGCCTAATGCCTATGGGTGAACACGGTCCAATTAAGCCGAGACAAGGCAGCTTTCACAGGCAAACTGCTGATACTGTGCTGCACATACCGACGACTGGGGGAGCAGGTTAGCCTAACTTCATTTCTGGAAATGATTCAGTAATTATACGCAGCTCAGTCTAGCTGACATCTACAAATTTCTGCGTTCCCCTGGATGAAGCGATGAGACTCTGCAGGTCCATAAAGCTGGTTAGCAGTTAAACGCAGTTAGCTACATTCACAGGTATTTTCCATTATCATGTTTGAGATCTAAGTGGGTTCAAATTAGACCAGGGGTGCCCAATACGTCGATCACGATTGACCAGGTAGCTCGCACATTGGTCCCAAGTCGATCGCGAGAGGTGTAGCGGAAAAAAAATCCAACCCAAAACATGTGTGTGTCTGTGTGCATGTCATGAATATATTTAACATCCTATCATTCTCCATTTCACAAAAAGTATTTAAAAAATAAAATAAAATAAAAAGCAGGTCACCTTTAACCTACGGTGGCCCGTGACCTGCATCACCGGAAGTTGTTAGCAGTCAGCAGTCTGCAATTGTCTTTTGTGAATTGTTATTATTGTTCTCATTCAGAGTTTGTTTCATGTACAGTTCATCAAGGGCACGGGCAAAGAATGGGAATCTGGAGTGCCGGGAGAAGCATTTTAAAACGGTACATGTGAGCTACGATCATTCACACGCTGCAAAAGTCATCCCATGCCTCAATGTCAGGTCTCGACTAAGGTAGGCAGTGATTTGCTTTTCACAAACTTTTGTGTCTACTTTATTTTTCAGTTTCGTTCATTTTAGGGGCCATTGTGGCGATTGCTCATCAGGGCATGCGTGTGTAAGTGCACGCGTATGCACGCGAGCATGGTAATGGATCGATCGTGGGAGGTTGGCTGATCGAAAAGTAGGTCTTTGGTCAAAAAAGGTTGAGCACCCCTGAATTAGTCGCGTTTGCCGAGAGAAAAATGTATGACCCGGTGTCATGATTTTCAAAAATATACTCCAAACTTTTTGAAAGATGAAAGGAGATACAGAATTGCATCTGCAAATCTAAAAATAGATGAAAAGGTGAAATGTGATGCACACAGCATCTTCAGGATTTCCACAGGCAAAGAATATGCTTTGGGGCTGAAGTTCAGTTTTGCATGTGTATTCAGTACAAGCGGAGCACCGTAAAGATGTATCTTTGAACTCGGTGAGTGACTGCCTGCGTAAACTTTCATTGAAATGATTTCGCAGCACGCTGTGTGTTTTGCACACAGCGTCGGCTGTGTACAGTCTTTGTGGAGGCCTCCGGGCCTGTTTTCTCACTCCACGCATGTGTACTTACCTCCGTATGTGTATTTTGCGCATGTCTGTGAACGCTCGGGGAAGGAGATCTCGCAACATGTGACGGCCAGCGGGCCGGCGTCGTCGGAGAAGGCTGGAGAAGGGAAGGAAGCGACTGTTGCCACGGCAACCCCGGGCTGGAATGGCTGACGGTCGGGGAGCGTGAGGTAGCTGTCAGTTGAGACAGTGATAGCTGAAGGGAAACACAGGTGAATAGTTCTTATCGCGTTCGTGGTTATTTGTTTCTTATTGTGTTATGATGAAGAACAAGGGAGAAGCTTGTACTTCTTCAATTTCAGATGACAACAGAAATGTCGAACATTGCAAATAATGTTCGTGAAAACTCAGGCAGTGGATTCAGGAAGGATAAGATGAAAACAAAACCCTTGAACAGATTCAACTGGCTGGTCTAGCTTTTTAATCAGAAAAAGTATTATTTCCCTCTAATTTACGGTCGCGCAATCAACGGTTACTCTCCTCGTTTCACGATCTCAACCAACAATTCAGATGATTACAGTTTAACGTCCGCTTAAAAGTGCATCATCTCTGATGTAAAACATCTGCGGCAGGCAGTCGAGTTTCCCTGCCAATAGCTGAAGAGCCACGATCACAGCACGACCATTAAAGTTAAAGATCCAGAATATGTCCATTAAGAAGTACTTGACTGCCTAATTGCGCGATGTAACCTGAAATGTTATCAACTTAATTTAAACTCCATCCACTTTGAAATTGTCACAAATAACAGTGATCGACGGACTTTCCTCACTGTTAATACAATGTTTAAAATGACATTTTATTTTTCTCTCAGGAGCAATTTTACTTGTCAATGACTTGATTTGAGGAGCAATTTACCAATTTTGAGAGGCAGATTAATTCCAGGGACCTGTAGCAAGGGTTTTATTCAACAATAAAAATATATGGCGATAAAACGGAGAGGTTGAATGTTGGGCTACAGCGACCAAATATGATAGTATTCAAGTATCTACTGAAAATTCTATTGAAAAATCGTGTATTCGTGATAACGTACAGTGAACCCCTTCCATTACAGTTTCCGGGTTCACAGTCCCGGTATTTTTATTTATTTATTTGTATTCACTTTTAATTTTTGCTGCTTGCTGGCATTTTGTGACATCGTTTTGAGTGTGAATTCCACGTGTATACCCGTATCTACTGATTCAGCCCACCAGGGCATCATTGTTTTGCTAGCCGCTGATTGTTGTTGCGTTGACTGAGGGCCCCAAATGACTAGCTATGGCCCTGCGATGAGCTAGTGATGTCGCAAGCTAGCTGACGTGCCCAAAGTCTGATTAGTTCCTTGCGCATTGGTGAAGACAGCTGGTCAATAATCTGAATCAGAATCATCTTTATTGGCCAAGTGTGGAGAGAACACACAAGGAATTTGTGCTATCCAATACTATAACAGTTGTGCAGTTGGTGCAGATAATAGTCGTACCAGTTTTTAAGTGACCAGTAGCAGTAATTGTCGTACAACTTGAGGTGTGCAACCATACAGAAAGTCCTTGAGCGCTTTCAAGTGTCTGGTACTGTGGAATATTGATCAATGATCATTGTTTAAGTTTGTAAAGGGCTGGAGCTACAATGATCACTGTGGTAATATTGTTCCACGAGGCTGTGAGGAGGTAAAAAAAAAAAAAAAAAAAAAAATGGTAGCCACCCGAAGAAAATTGGTTTTTAAAATGTTTCCCAAAATTAAATAATATATTTTTTTGTTCAATAGTTCTTTTTTTTTTTTTTTTTTTTGCTATCAAAACAAAACAAACAGATTTCATGTGATTTTCCATTTGATCAGCAGGGCTCCAGACTGGCCACAAAATGGTGATGTTTAGCCCCTAAAATTTGATACACATAATTTCCCCGTTGGCCTGCTGTCCTGTATTGACTTTTAAAATGCTTTCCCACAGCACCTGTCATAGATGCGATGGCCGTGGACCCAAAAAACAGGAAGTCAGAAGAAGCAGGAAGTACCGAACAAAATGTATTAACAAAAAAAACAAAACAAAACACTTGCTCGGGTACACTGGCAAAACTAAATGAATAGCACTACCTAAGTCAATAACGCTAACAAAAAGATCCAACTCAAAGTCACAAGGAAACACACACAACGTGACAGCAACGCAAACAAAACGACATGACGGTAGCACAACGATCCGACCAAAACCGGCAGAACCCGGGTAACTGAATACAAGCAAACTGACGCGACAACAAGCAACGCCTGGACAAGACACAACGGATTGAGGGACCTGATTTGGTCGACATAAGGGACAGATGGAAACAAAACCAAATAAGCAAGACATAAGGACATGAAGAAACAAAACTATGAAACAAAATGTGACCCTGAGATGGATATGTGACATGTCTAAGGTTTACCCTGCCTCTCGCCCAAAAGTTGTCAGCTCGATAGGGAGGCCCAGTTGAGCAGCTCGATGATGGATGGATATTAATCATCATTTCTGCTGCTCCCACCTCAATCCAATCTTTTCTCTTCAACGCTAACAATGTCAAAGACAATGCTGGCAAGATTTTATCATCAGCGTGAACCGCAATTCTTCGCCTATTTTGGCTTGTCCTATTGGTCAAAATGTCCTGTAAAATCGGGAAAGCTCTCAACAAATGTCAACTTTTCAAAATCACGTCATTTGTCAACAAATGTGAGCTCACTCAGATTGAGCCAAAACACTGGCAAAACAATACAGCAAAGAAATTAGAAGTGGCATCGCCCCGGGTTCTAATTTTCTCATTCATTCATACCAAGAGGGCAAACATCTTCGTTTCACCTTCTGGCTTCATGGGAAAGCACGTCAGCATGCAGTGTGTGGAGGATAGCGTGTGCACTGCGTACATGTGCAGTCTGCGGTTTACCCGTGACCCTGAGAAGGATAAACTGAGCAGAAAATTGGATGGATGGTCCAATGTGTCCTTCATGTGTAGCAGGCATGGTTGCTATGTACAAAAAGCTTCCGAAATGTTGAGACAGAATGATATCCTTTTGGAAAGGATGAAGCCAGCGTAATTTTAAGAACAAAAGGTGTAGCGGCCAAGCACACAAAAGAACATATTAGTGAGGTGTCAGAAAGGGACTACCAAGCCAAAGTGTGAAGAATTGGGGCTGACAGAGACAAAGCGTAGGTGATAATAGACTGTTTTACACTCAACTCATCCTTTCATCAATACGTCTATCCGTCTGCACTGTTCATCCTGTGTGGGGAGGCAGGATAGGACAGAGCCTGCAGTCGAAACGCACGTCAGATCAAAATTTACCATTTCAAACAGCACCATTTTAAGCACAAACTGAACAATAATGCCAAGGGGTGAAATTTTATTTTTCAATAATGCTGTTGAGTTTTCTTTATATTTCGGATTGCTCTCGGGTGATCTGTAGGCTAAGGGATTAGGACAGTTATTGCACATCAAGCACACATCAACAGTCAAGGATTCTTGGAGACATTGCTTTCAAATCCACCTGCATTTTAAATTAGTGTGTGTGTGTGTGTGTGTGTGTGTGTGTGTGTAGCACACATCAACAGTCAAGGATTCTTGGAGACATTGCTTTCAAATCCACCTGCATTTTAAATTAGTGTGTGTGTGTGTGTGTGTGTGTGTGTGTGTGTGTGTGTGTGTGTGTGTGTGTGTGTGTGTGTGTGTGTGTTCTACATATTTAAAAAGTCAAGACTGCTTTTAATCCGGGTAAAATATTTGTGATGGCAGGAATCATCCGACGTCAAACGTGGCGGATCAAAAATACATCACTGTGGCTTGACAGAATCAAGGAAAACTCCTCAGGGAATAATTAAAACACGTCTTGCATGGCTTTCAACAAAATGGCTTCTGACTTTTACAATCCGAAAAAAAGGGTTGTAGAGCAGGAAAGTAATCACGGCCTTGCTCTCGTTTCAAGGAAAGAGGTGTAATTACATCCCTGCATCTTAGGGCAGTCGATACTACAGGGTCTGGCAGTAGTGCAATAGAAAGGCTTCTTTTCTAAGATAATACCCCTGGCATTCATAACACAATGCCGTTTCATCAATCACCGTTGAATGGCCACTATTGGAGGTCTGGAAAGAAAAATGAGTACGGCGCTACCTTGCAATTTGCATGCGACAATAGTTGTACAATTTGTAATTTAACAAGAAAATAAGCCTCAAAAGTCACACAAAACCTTGAGTTGAATCGTCATCCAAAGATGGTCAACGATAACATTGTCCCTGTTAACCATTGAGAAGATGGATGGAAGGATGGCCAAAAAGTCACAGACAGATATTGCTATGAATACCATTTTTTTTCCGCACTATAAGGCGCACCTAAAAGCATTCAATTTTCCCAAAAGCCATCAGTGCGCCCTATAATCCGATGTCCCTTATGTATCGTGTTACACGGTCTCTTTATATTCCTCATTGAGTTGTTTCCCTGTTAGTGTTCCTATGCCATCTAGTGGTGATTATTAGCAGGAACAACGTGTAACCTAAAAGGGTTCTGCCCGACACTAATTGACATGTGCATTCACCAACACTCACTCAAACAGACAACTAATTTGTGAGCTCTGCGCAGCCATTATGAAACAAAGTTAACACCAAAAGCATAGTTGACCTGTTTAGTCACTAAACGAAGGAAGAAGGAGACAAGCAAGGATATTTAGCCCCTTGTGGATGTGAGCCCATGAGGTTTGTGTGCCTTTTTGTTGAATCAATTGTCTTCATTAGTTTTGCCTTTCATTTCTTGTTTTGTAATGCCATTTTTATTTATAAGTTTAATGTCCGTGTTTGTGACCAGTTCTGCATGGCTTTGCTCTATATAAAGCTGTGTTGTATTGTATTTTATTCCCTTTGCCGTAGCTCCATCTAGTGGATATATATTGCAACCACAGCCACTATCGTAGCTTCTACTCTATGCGCCTTATAATGCGGTGCGCTCTATATGTGAAAACAGTTTTGAAATAGGCCATTCATTGAAGGTGCACCCTATAATCCGAAGCGTCTTGTAGTGCAGAAAATATGATATATTGGCATTATTCTTGCATCTTGACACCGAAGAGCAATGACAGGTGTGTCTGCTCACAGCAATGAACGCTTGCAGTGCTAAAATAGAAATGACTCAAAGCGAGACTTTTGTCAACGTATCCGAGACAAGAATGGAGTCTAAGTATTCATCATTGAAGACATTTTGCAAAAATGAGTTATGACTCGGGCAGAAGCAGCTGCCAGATCAGCCTGTGCCGGCAACCCAGTGCTGCACGGCCTAACCAGCACTTGGATGAACAGAATACAAGCACGACCACGAACCACATCGGTTGTGGATGCAAGATGATATCATCGACATGGACAAAGTCAATGGCTCGCCCAAACGTTGGCTATAAATACCACAGCATAATTAGAATTCCGCACAGCAGCAAACAGAGGGCCAGAAATCAATAATGTATGCAAGCAAGAGAAAGTTGTCAGATCAAACAATGGCTGCCGACAGAGTCGGAGAGAAAGGCTTGTTTATGCGCACCATCCCAGAAAAGGATGCGATTGATTAATCAGCACTTGACAGCCATGTTGACAAGGAAAGAAAAATTTGTTGAACAGGAAATGGAAATGGGTTTCGTTGGTTGAAACACTTGTTTTTATAGCTGTATCTTTGAAAGCAGAGAGATGTGGAAACAAAGGATGCATTTGTGACTACTGCTGCACAACTAGTCAAGATGAATTTGAGGGTGCCAAAAGCAATGGCGTGGCTTCACACATTGATTCCCGTTTCATCTCTCCATGCAAAGACTTGGGGCACCATTAAAATGATAGATGAACACATAGCCGCATAGATTTATGGCGTGCACTCAGAGCAGCTTCAGCAATAATGACTTAGGCTCGGTACCCTTATTTACTCGGTCTTTCATATAAATGCAGGAGCTCTACACAGAGACGTATGCACTTCAATCATTTCTCGGCTCATAAAGCATCTGAGACCAGTTCTTTATATAGTTATACTCACTGGGACACACCTCTGCAATACCAATAAAGTTCAATAAATACTGAAAGTAGTAGTTGCAGTCGTAGTCATCACAATTGTTATTTTGTTCAAGTCCAAAGCGGTTTTTCGGGAGAAACAAATTTGCTTAAACTGTGCATACAATATGACATTCAAATTAAACAAATGGCGCCACTCTTTGGAAAACTAGCACACATCGTTTGATATCATGCCTATTTGGTTGAATCTCAAGTGATTGGCTTAAACACTGAGATTCTGCACTAAGTTGGTTGGGACAATTTGCGGTCATCAAAGGCACGCACTCCTCAGCCACTTTCTCCCTTGGCGGTGGTGTACCGCAAGGTACAGTTTGAGGCCCACTTTTATTTTGCATTCATATGCTGCCCCTTGGCCAAATTATTGAGGACCATAAAGTGTCCCTTCAGTGCTCTATCCAAATGACACAAGTATTGCGTCCACTGAAAAACTATTTTGAGGTTATCCAAACAAGTTACTAATCAAAGCCACACTACATGGATTGAATTTTACATTTGGAGCGGCAAGGTGAATGAGTGAATCAAATCATCTTCACAGTTGGGAGGTTCAGGGGTTGAATCTGGGCTGTGGGTTTCCTGTGGAGTTTACGTGTTCTCCCTGTGCTTGTAACGGGTTTTCTCCGGGTACTATAGCTTAGCTTCACATGCTATTTAGGTTAGCTAAAAAGTACATATTCTTATTAAATGTACTGTAAGTGTGAGCGTGAATGGGTGTGTGTCTATTTGGGCTGTGCAATTGGCTGGAGACCAGCCTAGGGGGCTTTGTCCAGATGTACCACGTCTCTCATCTGAAATCAGATGATACAAGCTTAAGATCACCTCCAACTAGAGACTGGAATCAAAAACGTTCCTTTTTGGAAATCTTTCTATAAACATATCATCTCATGATGTCTTTATCATTTGCATTATTCAATTATCGCAGCGAATTAGAATGGATTAGGAAATTGACAAGGACTCGAATCAATAAGGAGTTTCTTTGAATGGAATCACATAATTCTTATCAATTCACATCCATTCGGCCAGGACCCTAATGAGACGTATAGAAAACAGATGAAGATGTGAGGACTTATGCTACATTCAGACAGAAGATGACATGTTGTTTCGCCCCTTATGTCTTGCTTGAATTTGATCGTGGGACACAAATGTAACTGCTTCATTCATGCCATGAACAGTGAAGTTGCACTTCTCCTCTGACAGAAAAAAAAACATGAACATTGCTTGTCAGGCAAATCAGGTAGCCAGTGGTTATACTAAAACTTTTATTCATGTTAAATACGACTGCTCTTGGTTCACAGTTCAAAAGCTAAAAACAAGTAAATACACATACCAGCTACACCAACTTTCTCACATCCCATTCTGCATGCCTGCATAGTTGGGCATACATTGGTTAAAGGTGCAAGGCAGACATTGTCAAGGTTTTACAATAATACTGAACGGTATTTATTCTTAGCTGCATTTTATTTCATATATACCTGTAGCTCGCCAACAATCTTTCCAAGTATTTACGCTCTCCTTTGTTATGATGCTTTTCCTTTCTAACCGCTTCATCCCTGATAACTGCACCATGTCTTTATGGTTGTATAGAAAAGAACACAATACAGTATACTGTATGTGGAGTCTGAAAATCCACTAGGCAGTAGCAGTTTTTATGTCGCAGCGTACTAGTAAGTGTGTAAGTGCTCAAGTGTTCAATCACTAGGTGTGTGACAAAGAGCTACAGACTTTAATTTATTCCTGATGGCCCACTTAAGTCGCTTCGGCTGTTTTGCTTGGAGTGTGGTGGGCTTCGGTGCGGTGTCTATTATGTGTACTGGGTATTAGTGCATTATCAATCATGTTGCGCAAGACTTCGCTCTTGCAATCACGTCGGGGCAAAGAAAGCATCATGTGCATGAGCATAGCACAGGCAAAAAAAGTTGAGGGTTAAGTCTGTTGGAGTTTGATTGCTTTGTGTGACTGCACCCGAAGATACTGTACAGTCTTGTCAACATTTAGCAATATAGAGTAATTCACATTTTCTTTAGGAATTGAAATTTTATGGTCCAACATGCACATATGGCACATAGCATTATCACTATCCCATCATTAAATCCCTTCAAAAAGTGGTACCCAACCCTCTTCCCACCGGGGACGGGTTCATAATAATCCACTTTCTTGACGGACCTGCTGAAAATTGAATGCCAATGGACACTATGCACAGCAGCTCATGGCATATTTCTGTTGGAAAAAATACGGAGGTGTACGAGCTTCCGGCTTCGTTTAATCCAACCTACCGGGATGCCATCTGAAGGAAAAAAAAAAAACAAATTCTTTAAAATTGCCTTCACATGGGTTTTTGTAAAAAGTGTATTTATAGCTTCGGAGCTGGTGCTTTTCAAGATGCAAATGTCCTCCATAGTTATAACTTTTAAAAACGAAAAAATAGCTCTTCAAGCCAACGCTGTGGTGTGGCACCCATTATGTTCACTTTTTTATTTGAGTCTGTACTACACAAGAGTTTAGTTTATACATTCAGCGAGACAATTTAACTATTGCAACATTGAAGCGACAAAGGTAGTATGTCGGCCTTTCTCTTTCTTGCTCGGCTCCGCAGCGAGTCACGAAGCTGCGCTCTCTCATTCCCTCTCTCCTCCGCCATCCATGCAAGGCACCCGGTTATAGGGAGCTTCGTGGGAACATGTATCCTCATCCTGTGGTTAGAAGTATATGATTGTCATTATTGTTATTATTATTTCAAATTTTCATCAGCTCAAATCCGTTGCATCTGCACCATAGAATGTTCTAATAAAGACTTTGTAGTCTATTTTGTGTGGGGTTATTTTTTTGTGCGTTTTTAAAAAGTTGGGTTAAATAAGACTTTACGTACATGATAAATAATGCTTTGATCATGTCACCGACACTGATAGCTGGAGCAAGTAAGGTACAGTAATATGTCACTTATGGCAACTTGAGGTCATTTCAGCAGATTGCGAGCATATTTTAAAGTGTTTGATATTATCACTCTGCGTTAGACTACCAGCCTAAAGGTAGCACGCCTCCGTAGTTCAAATGCGGAAATGATGCGTACATTTTGTACATTTGTCTAGCAACCCTACACATCTCAACATGCTTCAGCCAGAAAAATATATCCACTTCAAGATTCCGATAGTTGAAATGTATGCCACCGGGGCGTTGCGGGACTTTACACACCATGGCAAGAAGAGCTTGCCACGAGCTAGCTTGCAAGCTAACAGGCTTCCAAGGCTTCTCTGAGTCTCTCAGCCTGCAGGTGTGGTTAGGGATTGAAATAATGATCTTGAGCTGTTCTATAAATTGTGACATCTAGGGAAGATGCATTTTTTTGGCGGTAGGCAAAGCTATAGTTAACTAACTGCATATTGTAGTGCGAGAAATGGGTCGAATAATACTAACAACATAACTTCCAATTGAGCCGGATAACCACTGATTCGAACAAAGGCACTCAAGTTTCTACATAATTTGTAAGGGGCATCTCAGGCACAAATACATCACAGGAGCGGTTTTCGCCACACACACACACACACACACACACACACACACACACACACACACACACACACACACACACACACACACACACACACACACAAAAAAAGAAATTCTGAAATACTGAAATGTAAATATATATATATGTATGTGTGTGTACTTTGAAACAAATACATGATTTTGGTTTGCAGTCATTATAAGGAGGACCTGAACCTGTCAGTACCCGGAGGGTTGACAAAAGAAGATGAACATGTTCACACAAACACTTTATGTTGGAAAATAAAAATCATGGTGAAACATCAAATTGTATAGTGCTCAGACAAACTATCAGAAAAAGCGGTTCAAGGTGAAATGGACTGGCCCTCAACATCTCTTACCTTAGGGCCCCGTGGTGATTCCGGAGACGGAACTGCTTGGATGTCATTTTGACCTGCAAAATATATACATAAAAAGATGTTGAATCACAAAGTCAACATTGGCCATGTCAAATTAAATCTGTCACTCACATCTTTAACTCGATGAGATCATGTTGTGCATCCTGAGCCAACAACCACAATGGATACTCTTTCAATGAAAAATTTAATCATTGTGCAACACCATTGAAAAATAAAAACCCTCTTGCGTCACAAGTTAAAATAATGTACTGAACAACACAATAGTAACCATGTTCCTTCAACCCTCACGAAAAGATGATGTTCGAGGTCATGAGATATTGGTGTGGGTTTGCACAAAAAGCACCAAATGCAGAGTGAGAAATGGGAAACTACAAAGTAGAATGAGCAGCTGCCAAAACACTGCATTGCGAGCATTCTGAGAAGATGACTTATGCTGTGCCTAAAAGATGCACTGATGAAAGATTCTGTTTTACATATGGTAAAACAAAATGCCGTAACTGATTGCCTACATGCTGAATAAGACGGACCAAAGATAATTAAACCTCGTAGCAAATGGATCGACCTTGAAAAAAAAACACAAGTTTGATTTCGACGTCATTGTGACTTGAAAAGTCGACGATTCTTCCTGAGGTATTTGCTTGGTCGCCATGGTAATTCCGGAACGAAAGGTTTCCCAGCATCTCTTTGTCCTTCCTCCTACTCTTTGTCGCGCTCGGCGCAGGATCTCGACTGATCTTTTGGAAATTGCTTGGTCTGCCTGGGGTGTCTCGCTGTGGCTCCCATCTGTTCAGACAACATGCACACAGAGCTATGCTGGCTCTCTGGCACAAACTTGCGCGTGCATTACCTCTCATCGGGAGACATTTTGGCTTGATGATGGTCAGGTTTCACTCTTTTCCTAGTCTGTGGGGAGCATGTTTGACCTCATCACAATGGACGATTCATTTCTTCTTGACCAATGAGCTCAACCGAGCCCAGTGCAAGCGCAGATATGTGTGCGTGCAGATATGTTGAAATTATTCATCCTCACGGTGGTGGAGTGTGGGGGGGGG